TGGATTAAAAATCCCTGGTATATACATACAAATGAGTATATATATATATATAAATGGATTAAAAAACCCTGGTATATACATACAAATGAGTGCATATATATATATGCACATATATATATATAAAACTCATCCCTAAAAAGCAGTGATGAACATATGAAGCACATCGTCCCATGGGAAGAGTTGGAGGAAATTATGCTAAGTGAAGTAAGCCAAGCACAAAAGGACAAGTACAACACGAGTCCAGAGGTAAGCTTAAAAAGCATAATGGGCATAGGCCACCAAATGCTTAAATTCCTGGCAGGGGTCAGACCCAACCCAGGGATACACATGGCAGCCAACTGAAAAGGAGGGGAAAGGAAACAAAAAGAAAAAGAGGACGTGGATAGTGGGGGAACAGGGTACTACCTCACACACATGGGGAGGGTATTGTTCATGCCGCCATAGGAAAGTGAGAAGGACCAGACCTCAACCTGGGCACCAAGCCAGCATGCAACAGTGAACTAACAGAAAGGTCTGCAAGGCCAGCCCCAGTCCCAGCTACATCACATCGACCCCCTCCCAAGAAGAATGCACTGCAGAGGACAGCACCGAAGATACCGCCCAGGGAGAGTGGTGGGTCTGCCCAGACCACACAGGAGCAAACTAAGAGGGAAAGAGAAAGAGAGGGAGAGAGAGAGAGAGAGAGAGAGAGCCTCATGAATGACATTGCTGCTCGGAGCAGCCCATGCACAGAGAGGCCCATAGGCCTGGCCCCTCCCCGAGACACAATGCCCTCTCACTGACCCACAGTGCTACTAGGGACAGGACTGGAGACACAATGTGGGAATAGTGCCCAGTCTGACCCCTTACACCGAGGCAAAACATAAGAGGAGAGCAACAGAGCAGCAAGGAGAGCAAAGCAATGAAGTCCCCTGAGGAATCCTGAAAATAGGCTTCAGAATTCGTGGGTAGGGCTTGGCACTTCACCAGACCCGAAAGGAAAACATTCATAAGAGTCAGGAGACAGACCTGGAACTATTTATATGCTTTTCAAAAATTGTTTTCTCATGTCTATCCATATGACATAGGGTGGATAATGGATAAACAATCCTAAGGAGAAAATAATGGAGCCGATGGTGGGGGG